TTTCGTGATTTGGAAGTCGGTTCGGTCTGGTTTTTCGTCGAAGATATCTGGTTATCAAAAATGATTTTATGATTATAAATAACTTGTGGTTAACAATACGCTCTAAATGTCTGTGTTCGATCCTTGGCTGCATCATTTTAGGTTTTTTATACACATTCTATAAACAAACTTGGGAGTTAAATCTTCTAGTTAAAAGGGTCAAACTAAGCTTTCAAACAAAATCACTTGAAAACTATGGCAGAATTTGGTTTTGTGACTTTTGTCAGATCAAATAGCCCACTTTAATTGATCGGTTCGGTTTAGGTCTCGCTTGTCATCAATAAACAGGAACTGTATAATTCATTTAACTTGCACACCATCGCCTCTTCCTAACCGGTCTCTGTTGATCGGTATAATCGGTTTTAGCTCCTGGTTCGGTTTGAGATTCGAGCGTGGCTACTAGACTCCTAGCCACTTCAGTTTCCTTGAACCTCTCTCTCCGTTTCTCCATCTTCTTCAGACTCTCTTGTATTCGTTCTTCGTCTATTTCGATCCCTTTCACGTTCATTGCTTCTTCTATGATCTCGCCCTCTTCTTTATCATTCATATCTCGAATCTGCGTAGCTTTCTCTTTGCTTCTGCAGACTACATTTCCAGGTTTCTCACGTTCTTGTTGTTCAATTTTATCTTCACCATTGGAGAAACTTCTTTTTGATTGGTTAGAGAGCTGAAACACACACAAAAGGATCACATGAGAAAGGTCATGTTCTTCATTCCACACAAACTGATGTTTAATATAAACAGATCAGAACAACAAACAAAAATCAATTATAGAAGGCAGATTACTCCTAAAGACAATGTAAAAGAAGAACATTATCGTAGCAGATGTAGTGAGCTTCAAACTGAGCTCGGACAAGGCTCTATGAGAAGCAAACAAGCAAAAATGCTAGAAATTGTTTACCAATAATGATCTCACCATGCTTTTAGCTCTAACTGGAATTATAACTGGAAGGACGGCGAAATCTAATTCAATGTGGAAAACTGTAAGGCGTTTTTTACTTGCTAAATATATATTTAAAAAACATGTAAATTTGGTTTTCCCATCTTTACCTTTCCTTGCCTACCAGTTAAGTTGACCGGATCCTGACGCTCATGCCCATCTCCTTTCAGCCTTTTGGATCTGTGATGTCTTTCATCAGTTTCACGAATATTGCTCATTAAATATCCAGACCTTTGTTTGGTAGACATTCGATTATGCGTAGGCATTCTTATGTCGCGGGCTAATATCTCATCAGTATATGATGGATGCTCAGAATAAGTAACTTCTCTCATTGAGCACTGAATGTCATCTCCCAACTGAAATCTCCTTCTATCACGACGAACCCAATCATCGTCATATTGTAGTCTATCTTGTATGCTCTCGCTATGAAGAAGATTCCGCGTCCAACCATCTCTTGGTCCAGCCCTATACAACTGATTATTCTGGCTGTCATATGCTTCAGATGGTGTAAAGAGTCTGGTATCATCTCTCCAGGAATCACCTCTTGATCCTTTTGTATACCAAGACTCTCTCAATGATAAAGACGGTGATGGCCAACGATTTTGCACTCTGTACTTGTAACCATCGTTCTCTGAGACAAATCCATCAAGATACCTATCAGGTGTGTAATGGTGTCTTTTATCTATTTCAGAGAATTCCTCATTTCTTTCATACCCTCGAAACTCTCTCCTTCCAACTTCAGCAAAAGAATGCATCTCCCTGTAAGCCAGCTCAGATGGAATTCTACTTTCTTCCCTGTGAACTCCATCATCATATCTATGGCGATGAAAATTATATTCGTAATCACCCCTTCTTCTGCAATGAAGATCATTCTCGTGACTCTGTTTGGGGTTATGTCTTCCATGTGCAGAAGAGTACTCGAACCGGTACCTATAGTCCATGTCAGTTATTGGAATACAGTTCTGATAATAAGGTTCTCTTAACCAATCATACCGATTTCTTTCTTTGTTGCCTTCATATGGTAGGACATGACTTCTTTCATGACCATATTTTCTTTCACAACGTTGCCTATCATATCGATTCTCATCTTCTTTAAAACTTGATCGACAATTTCTCTGATTAAGATTGAAGGTTGAACGTGAGGTATACTCTTTAAGACGCGCCTCATACATGTAACCATTAGAATGATCCAAGTCCCGGCCTCGTGATGATTCTTTGGTGTTGTGCCAACCAAACCTGTGATCTCTATGTCGATCATGATCCACAGATGAATACATTCTACCATGAGGGTTTTCTCTATTTGAGTGAGGAAAGCCTTTACCTTTAGTCTCATCCCTTTCTAGAGTAAAAAGTGGTCCATTCTGCCAGTTTTTGCGTGATTCACGATACAAATTTCCATGCCGAGAACGCACATTCTTGCCAAGATCTGGTGAAAATGACCCATCCTTAACGATTCCATGTTTTATTTTCTTAAAGTGCCTTTCACTTGGGTATTCGTGAGATCTTCTGTGTCTGGAATGCCTTGTACCACTCATTTCCTCACTTTTGATATTGGTTGCTTCATGTTCTGTAAATCTAGTTCGTCGTGGTGGGGTAATGACTTCACGTTGGACATCACTATCAATGCCTTTTGATGATTCTGTTTCAGAATCTTCAAATTCCTCATTTTTACCAACAGAACATGAAGGGGTAGGGCTAAAACGAATTTGTTCTCCAAGAGATGATTCCCTCTCCACTGAGTATGTATTGGTCTCATCTGAACTGCAGCCAATGTCTTCTTTCTCCTCGTCAATCATTTCCTTATCACAAGGTGTTACTTCTCTGCTGCAACAATACTCTTTTGGAGGAGACTGCTCACCACTGGAACTTCCAGTGTTTTGGTCTTGACAACCCACAAAAGCCTCTTCTTTTACGAAATTACCAGATGAATTCAAATCCCCACTTCTAGATGCTTCATTTGATGTTACGCTGAGAGACTTTGCTTCCACAGGTATCACGCTGGATAGCTCCTCAACATCATTAGTCACTGGGATCTGTTTTCACACATTGATTCAATCATCAATGGAAGATAATGGAAACAAAAACCAACAAATCAAGTATCATTTTCAAATCTTTTACCTGTATCACCACATCAGGATCTGAATCACGTGGAAGACGCAGATCTGCAGATGGTATCCGCTCAAAAGTTCCACCTCCAACCTCAATTGCTCTTCCCTTGAATTGAAAACGGAAAGAAACTCATTAAGATCAAACCAAATACGCCATTGTCACAAAGATGAGACAACAAGAACCAAAACATATTAACTTACCAATGGGTTACAGTAATCTTTCCAGCTTTGCTCGTTAAACCCAAAATTAAAGAAGTCATTGATATCCATACCAGGATTCCTCCATGGCTTCTTCTTAAACACATCGGAATTTACATCAAAAGGTGTCCTGAGAATAAGCGACACACACATCATAATACATATTGTGATCTTCAAACCCAATCACATTGTATAAACTTAAGAACACGATTATTATCTAAACTACGGCTACATCGATCAACTACAATGGTCACTAACCTGTACCAAGGATGTGAGAAATTATATCCACATTGAGGCATTCCAAGAGACTGATCAATGCAAGCTGAAGTATCCATCTTCATCCCTCCATTAACCATCCCAACATTTGGCATTGTGCACTGGAAAAACATCCATCAGAAAAACAACAAGATGAAATTAGACCGACAATACTGAAGAACATGTCACAACATTCGACTCAATCTCAGAGACTTACCCAGTTTCCGATCCTCCGTTTCTGAAAAGAGCAAGTTTTGGATGGTTCGACGTATCGGCAATTGTTGGTGTTCGACACACAAGCAACTGGAAACACTTTGGAATCGTCTTCTTTTAACACGATATTCAAATCATCGTCACTGTCACTGTACTCCGATTCTTCGTACGCCTCGTCGACACAAGGACTCGAATCCTTAGCCACCACATCGAATTTCTTCATTTCACCTTGCGATTCAGGCTTTACTTTCCCTTTCAAAACCCTATTTTGGTCGGAAATCGTCGCACACTCCGATTCTTCGCACGACTTTACATCGCCAGCGACGGGAACACTCGCCTGAACCTTGACATCAACGTACAACTCACCGAAATCGTCATCGGTGGAATCCATTCGCGGATAAGGTCAGTGAAAAATCCAGATTTTCGCAACAGAAATATTTTCTCTATCTCATAAGGGACTTAACACTTGGACAGTTGCATAAACCCTTAAAATTTTTGGAGTGAATGAAGAGATAAACACCTTAAACCCTAACAAGATTAATTCATAGTTTAAAAAAAAAAAAAATTATTTAAGCAGAATGGAAAGGAAAACATAATTTAGTTAAATAGATAAGGTTAAAAAAAAAATTTAGTTAAATAGATTATGAAAAAACCTTAGGAAAATGCCTAATTAATATATAAGGAAAATATGTTTTGGTAGATCTTAGCAAATATACGATCACATTTTATTAAATACTTTTGTTGATAAATTACTCATTTGTTTCAAATTGATCATGTTATTTTTAAATATTTCTTTTAGATTTTTAATATAAATTTTGACATTAAATTATTTAACCTCTAGGCAAAATTACTAAAAGTAACTTTAATTTAAAAAAAAACTTTTAGATGAAAAATGTTGGAACGATGGAAAACTTATTTGTCATATTCACATTATAAGATTCAGATCGTGTAATAATTTTCAAATTCAAATTAGATAACAACATTATACCCTCAATTTAAAAAAAAATATATTCTAAAAAATACCATTTTTTGTGTGCACATTTTCAAAAATCCCACTTAATAGTGTTAATTTGCAAAAATGCCACTAATTATAAATTTATAAAGCATATATCAAAAAATTTTAAACTCTTAAAAATATTTTGATTCCTAAAACTTCTTAAACACTCAAAATTAAACCCTAATACAACATAGTTAATCAAACATAAATTCTATAATAAAAAAAATAATTTTTAAAAAATGACAATTTTACAAAATTTTTTAAAAAGTGATATTTTTAAAAAGTAACATTTGGAAATTGAGATTTTTTGAAATTCCACTTCTCTTTTTGTCACGATTTAGCTTTTTGCAATTTTTTTGTATAGCTATTTTACAGAGGACATATACCTTTCCATTTACACCATCCATTATTAATTTGTCAATTTTTCCATAGAACTATAAAAAAAAAAGGAAAAAGAAAACAACTTTGATCTAGAAGAAAAATAAAAACTTTGAATCGAAGATACCAGTGCTGTGAGCTAACTACCACGGGCCACGTGACAACCTTTACTACTCCATCTTCTCTATCTCTCTCACGCTCTGGTAGCTGAGCTGATCTATTTGTTTCCCTCCCATTTCTCTCTCTCTTTCTTTAATGGTTTTTCTCTGACCATTACCTTCCTAACAACAATCTACTCTCTACCTAACATTGCTCGGTACTGACTCGCTCGACTCGCCAGGTGACAAGGTTCGTCTTCCTTTTTGATTGAGGATTCCAAGAGTCAGATCCGTGCTTCTTTCGATTCCGATCTGTGATTTTTTTCGGTATATCTCAAACAAATAAGTGTCGATCCTTTTTGGGTTTAGAGCCTATAGGGCTAGTGATGATTCGATAGTGGAGATCTAAACTGACATATGGATTTCTGTAATGCTAGTGGTTGAGATTTGGAATTGTGGGTCCCCTGGTTTCGATCCCAGTTCGTATTTTGTTAAATCCAAATTAATTGGATTCAAAAGCTTCTTCTTTGATTCGATTCTCGATCATGGGTTGATCAAATTCATCAATTTTTTACTTGTATTATCATGTAAAAGGGAAGATTTTTGGATAGGTCACTGAAAATGTCGCCTTTTTGAACTGTGATTCTCAGTTGCTTTCGAGCCTATAACATGGCCACGGGACAGCTATTTTCACGCAACACGCAAGCCTTGTTCTACAACTACAAGCAGCTTCCGATTCAGCGGATGCTTGATTTTGATTTCCTCTGTGGTGAGTCTACCTCGGTTTGTGTCTGTCTTGTTGAAATGATTTATGAATTACAATGTCTTAGTCAGATTTTAAGTTTCTGGTTAGATTTGGTGTGAAGGAAGCAATTTGGATTTTCATTAATCTTTACTCTTTTCAGGTCGAGAAACTCCYTCTGTTGCTGGTATCATTAATCCAGGTTCCGAGGGATTCCAAAAGCTATTTTTTGGTCAGGAGGAAATCGCCATCCCTGTCCATGCTGCGTAAGTTATATACTTCAATACCATTTAGATAGAGAGAAAGTCAAGGTTCAGACAGTTCAACTTAGTTTATCTGTTTCTTGCAGCATTGAGGCGGCATGCGCTGCGCATCCCACAGCGGATGTATTCATCAACTTCGCATCGTTTAGAAGGTTAGTGTAGTTCTAGTTTTGTAAATGTAATTTTTCCCTGTCTCTCTTTGTGATTTTTTGTGTAATGTTGTTTCTCCTTTTGTGTTGTATTTGACAGTGCTGCTGCTTCGTCCATGGCTGCTTTGAAGCAGCCAACTATTAAGGTGGTAGCCATAATAGCAGAAGGTGTTCCAGAGTCAGACACTAAACAGTTGATTGCTTACGCTCGTGCTAACAATAAGGTGGTCTATAAAACTGAACTTGACTTGGTTCCTCATGATGAGTTTTGCTCATACATGAGGCATTATTCCTTGGAGCACATTACTTATCGATCTTTTCATATTGATTTGAGATTTTCGAATCTGTATTCTGGTACTGATTGGCGGTTACAGGTTATTATTGGACCAGCTACTGTTGGAGGTATTCAAGCTGGAGCCTTTAAAATTGGTGATACTGCTGGAACAATTGACAATATCATCCAGTGCAAGTTGTACAGGCCCGGATCTGTTGGCTTTGTCTCGAAATCTGTATGTGCTGTTTTTTTTTGCACTTTTGTAGTCTTGCCTAAGCTCATGTTTATTCTCTTTTGTATTTTGATCCAAGAATTTATTGGGATCATTCTCTATTTTCTACAGGGTGGCATGTCTAATGAAATGTACAATACCATTGCTCGTGTGACAGATGGGATCTATGAAGGTGAGTATTATTTTATCCTATAATTTCTGAAGAGTCTTAAGCTGAGTTTATGTTTTGGAATGGCCAGGCATTGCTATTGGTGGGGATGTGTTCCCTGGCTCCACTTTATCTGACCACATTCTGCGGTTTAACAACATCCCACAGGTATATCAATCTCGATTTGTAATTTTTGTTGCTCACTAGAATATCCTCCTGCCTATCCATTTTTTTCTAATGTTTAACCATGAGAGAAGCTATGTTTAGAAGGAATCTGACCTTCCTTTTCTCATTCAGCAAATGTCTTTAACTAAAAAGTTATTGTAATCCTTTTTAAAATATTGTAGATTAAGATGGTGGTTGTACTTGGAGAGCTTGGAGGAAGAGATGAATATTCTCTAGTTGAAGCTTTGAAACAAGGAAAAGTCACCAAACCAGTGGTTGCTTGGGTCAGTGGGACTTGTGCACGTCTGTTCAAGTCCGAAGTACAATTTGGTCATGCAGTAAGTGCCACCCAAAAACTGACTTAAAGAAATTCTGGATACTAACCTTCCTCTGCCTGCTATATAAATCACTCTTTAATATGATCTGAAATCAGGGAGCCAAAAGTGGGGGAGAGATGGAGTCTGCACAAGCCAAGAATCAAGCGCTCCAAGATGCAGGAGCTATTGTACCCACTTCATTCGAAGCCCTAGAATCTGCAATCAAGGAAACTTTTGACACATTGGTCAGTCTCCAATTAGATGTGCCCTTAGCTTGCATTTTCTTTTGTTGTGATCTTATGTTCATTTTTCATTCCTCCTAGGTTGAAGAAGGAAAGGTCTCTCCTATCAAGGAAGTCACTCCTCCACAAATCCCCGAAGATCTCAGCTCTGCAATTAAGAGTGGGAAAGTCCGGGCTCCTACTCACATCATCTCCACCATCTCTGATGACAGAGGTATTATTCTTCTTCTGAAACTAAACCATTTCTCATACTTCAAACAGTAACATTGTTGCAAACAAAAATCAATTATTTTTGCATTAAATTTGCAGGGGATGAACCATGCTATGCTGGTGTGCCAATGTCTTCCATCATTGAACAAGGTTATGGTATGGGAGATGTCATTTCTCTCCTATGGTTCAAACGCAGTCTTCCCCGTTATTGTACCAAGTTCATTGAGGTTCCATTTCGTTGTTCATCTTTCTCTGTCCGTACACATAAATTGAATACTAGTGAGATTGAATCTGGTGCTGATACTTTGAGCTTCGATCAGATATGCATCATGTTGTGTGCTGACCATGGTCCATGCGTCTCGGGAGCTCACAACACCATCGTAACAGCAAGAGCAGGAAAAGACCTTGTCTCAAGTCTTGTATCAGGTGAGTTTAACATCTAGATTCCTAATCTCTTCCAAGTGAACTGTGCTATATAATAATAATCTATGCTTATAATAACTGATAATGCTTCCAACAAACAGGTCTATTAACAATTGGTCCTAGATTTGGTGGTGCCATTGATGACGCAGCACGATACTTCAAGGACGCTTGTGACAGGGTAAAAACCCTTTCCTCCCCCCTCACCGCAACTGCACACATATTTCTTGAATCTGAGATATAATTGGTACAAAAACGTTTTGCCTTTTTCAGAGTCTCACGCCTTACGAATTTGTGGAAGGCATGAAGAAGAAGGGAATCCGTGTCCCTGGGATTGGTCACAGGTAAGAACAAGCTAGTTTAGGCCTCAACTATTCACATGTAAACGTAGAAACTCGCGTTTGAAACAATTGACCCTTTATAGCAACTGCAGAAACAGACCATTCTCTTATGGATTTTTTTTTGTTTTCTTACATCTTACTGTGATATTGTAGGATCAAGAGTAGTGACAACAGAGACAAAAGAGTGGAACTGCTTCAGAAATTCGCACGGTCTAACTTCCCTTCAGTGAAGTACATGGAATATGCAGTCCAAGTAGAGACATACACACTCTCGAAAGCCAATAACCTCGTACTCAATGTAGATGGAGCCATTGGATCTCTGTTCTTGGACCTTCTCGCTGGAAGTGGGATGTTCACTAAGCAAGAGATTGACGAGATCGTCCAGATCGGTTATCTGAATGGCCTCTTCGTCCTCGCTCGATCCATCGGTTTAATCGGGTAACTCTCCTAATCAGCCACATTCATCTTCGTTCTTGAAGCTATTTGAATTGATTTGATCCTGAAAACCATGTTTGAATAAAATTGTTGCAGGCACACATTCGACCAGAAGAGATTGAAGCAGCCACTGTACAGACACCCATGGGAAGATGTCCTGTACACCAAGTAATCAAATCATTTATTCACTTCTTCTCTCCCCTCCAATTTAGGCTTATTTTTGTCTTTTTTTTATATATATATTTGTTCTGAAGATTATCTGTTGTGTTTTCTTTGTAATTTCCCATAACTTTCTGGTTCTTACATCTCAATTTTTAGTATTCTTCTCACAACGTCTCAGTAAATTTTCTTACATTTTATAAACGTATCTAATGTTGAATAAGATAAGAAAGGCACAAGTTTCTTTATGATGAGAATGTATCTTTGTTTCAAAATTAGAAGAATCATCATGGTATACTTTAATGTAAAAATGACCTTAACATAAACTTACAAAGAAACCAAGTTTATTTTAAATTAGAAAGAGGCATATACAAGTTACTACTCTACGTATGTATTTTGAACACACTCTCTAGTCTACACACAACAGACACTGTTGTGTATTTCTTACGTA